TCTATTCCCTCTCTCCCACCATCAGATTATTTGGAAGCAAATCCAAGATTCTGCCTGACTGAGCCACCCAGGTGCTCCCACGGTGACTTCCTTTAACAGTGGATAATAATGGAGAGGGGTCAGAGGAGAGTAGTAGCAACAGTGGAGGAACCTGGCACAAACACTGCAGTGATAAGTTACGTTGATAACGTGTCCCCATATGATGTGATGGAAATGGCACTTTATCTCTGTGCCCTTCCTCCTCAAACCCATAAAACCCAGTCTCATCATAAGAAAAATATCAAGTCTATCCCCACGGAGGGATTCTACAAAAACTAGTACTTCTCAAAACTGTCAACGTCCTAAAAACAGTCTAAGAAGTTGTCACAGTCAAGAGGAGCTTAGGGAGATGTTCTGAAACAGAAATAGTCATTAGGTAAAAACTAAGGAAATCTTGGGGCACCTGAGTGGCTCAGTCAGTTAAATGTCCTACTGTTGATTTTGGCTCAGGTCATGGTCTCACGGCTCATGAGTTTAAGCCCTGTGTCCGTCTCTGTGCTGACAGAATGGAGCCTGCTTGGCATTCTCCTCTCCTCTCTCTCTGCCCCTGCCCCTGTTTGCACACACACTCTCTCTCTCAAAATAAATAAGTAAATAAACATTTAAAAAATATAAGGAAATCTGAATAAAGCAATGGACTTTAGCTAATAATAACATATCAGTATTGGTTCATTAATAGTAACAAATATATTAACATAAGATATTAATAGGGACCTGGGTGTGGGGTCTGGGAATTCTCTGTAGTATCTTTGTGATTTTTCTGTAAATCTAAAATTCTTCTAATAAAGTTTATTAACATTGATCAGCTTTGGTATTTGAGTCAACTGTTCAGCTGGATAAATTGTCTTTTTTTAAAAACAGACTTTATTTTTTTAGGACAGCTTTTTTAAATTTTATTTTTTTAAGTAATCTCTATACCCAATGTGGGGCTCAAAACTACAACCCTGAGATCCAGACTCACATGCTCTACTGACTGAGCCAGCCAGGCACCCCATAACAGTTTAGGTAGACAGAAAAATTAAGCAGATCGTAGAGACTTTCCATAATATTACTCTAACCCACAGTTTTCTCTATTATCAGTATCTTGCATTAGTGTGGTACACTGGTTACAATGAATGTACTGATATTGATACATGATTGTCAACTAAAGTCCACAGTCTAAATTAAGGCTCACCCTGTGTTCTACAGTTCTATGCGTTTTGACAAATGTATAATATCAGGTATGCACCATTACAGAACCATACACGATGCCCTAAAAAACCTGCACTTTCCCTATTCATCTCTTCTTATGCACTCCCAAGTCCCTGGTAATCACTGATTTTATTTTATTTTTATTTTTTACTGTGTCTACAGTTTTGCCTCTTTCAGAATGTCATATGATTGCGATCATACGGTGCATAGCCTTTTCAGACTGGCTTCTTTCACCTAGTAATATGCATTTAAGGTTCCTCCATGTCATTTGATAGCTCATTTCTTTTATTATTGGAGAATATTCCATCTCATGGATATGCTACAGTTTATTTAACCATCCACATACTGAAGGGCATCCCGGTTGTTCTCAGTTTTTGGCGATCACGAGTAGACCTGCTAATAAACATCCCTGTGTAGGGTTTTGTGTGGACATCAATTATCAACTCGTGTTATTTAGAAACATATTGTTTAATCTCCAAATATGCTGGGATTTTACAGGTATTATTCTGTTACTGATTTCTAGCTTAATTTCATTATGGTCTGGGAGCATACTTTGCATGATTTCTATTCTTATAAATTTTTTCAGATGTGTTTTGTGGCCCAGAATGTGGTCTCCCTTGTTAAATGTTCCATGTGAGCTTCAGAAGAATGCATATTCTGTTGTTGTTGGATGAACAACGTGAATTGGCAGAGATGTCAATTAGATCCAGTTGACTGATAGTGCTTTTCAGCTTAATAATATGCTTAAACTGATTTTCTGCCTGCTGGATCTGTTACTAACAGAGAAGTGTTCACGTCTCTAAGTATAATGGTGGATATATAACTGTGGGTTTATCTGTTTCTCCTTGTAGCTCTATTAGGATTTTTTGCTGTATGTATTTTTGACTCTATTCATATACATTAAGGATTGTTGTGTCTTCTTGGATAAACGGATCCCTTTATCATTATGTAATGCCCCTCTTTATCCCTGTGTGTAGAACTGGTATTATTTCTTTAAATATTCTTTTTTAAAAAAATGTTTTATTCATTTTTGAGAGACAGAAACAGAGCGTGAGTGGGGGAGGGGCAGAGAGAAGGAGGAACAGAATTCCAAGCAGGCACCAGGGGTGAGCTGTCAGCTCAGAGCCCGATGCGGGGCTTGAACCCATGAGCCACGAGATCATGACCTGAGCTGAAGTCGAATGCTTAACCGACTGAGCCAACCAGGCGCCCCATATTCCTTTAAGTATTCAACAAAATTCATCATGAAGCCATCTGGCTTCTTTATGAGAAGACTTAAAAACTACTAATTCTGTTTCTTGTTATAGGGCTATTCATATTTCTACTTCTTTTTTTTAATATTTTATTTAATTTTGAGAGAGTCTTGAGTCTATTTTGGTAATTTGTCTTTCTAGAAATTTATCCATTTCATCTAAGTTGTCTAACTTGTTGGAATAAAGTCATTTATGGTATCTCCTGATAGTTCTTTTAATTGCTTTTCCCTTTTTCACTCCTGATTTTGAGTATTTGTTTCTTTTCTCTCAATTTCTTGGTCAGTCTCACAAAACCATTGTCAATTTTGTTGATTCTTTCAAAGAACCAACAATTTTGGTTTCATTAATGTATTATTTTTCTATCTTCTATTTCATTGATGTCTGCTCTAATCTTTACTCTTTCCTTCCTCTGCTTGCTTTGGATTTAGTTTGTTCTTCGTTATCTAGTGTCTTAAGGTAGAATTTTAGGTAATGGATTTGAGACCTTTCCTTTTTTTCTGACATGTTTTTCATGATATATTTATAGCTATAGGTTTCACTCTAAGTATTATGTTAGCTGCATTCCATATATTTTGACATTTTATATTTCATTTTAATTCATTTCAAAAAAATATAATATATAAATAAATATATTTTTAAAGTAGGCCTCACACCTAGCGTGGAGTCCAACGTGGGGCTTGAACTCACTACCCTGAGATCAAGATCTGAGCTGAGATCAAGAGTCATATGCTTAACTGACTGGGCCACTCAGGCTCTGCTTTTTCAAAATAGTTCAAAATTTCTCTTGTGATTTATTTCTTTGACCCATAAGTTTTTAGAGTGTATTGTTTAATATCCAAATATTTGAGGGTTTCTCAGATTTTTTGCTACTGGGGATCTTAATTCAATGTGTCAGAGAATTTACTTGGTATGGTTTCAATTTTTAAAAATTTATTAAAACTTGTTTTGTGACCCAGCATACAGTTTATAGAGTTGGAATCATTTTTTAATTTGTTTTATTTTATATTAAATACTTCTGATTGCAATATAATTCACATACCATAAAATTCATTCTTTTAAAATTTGCTGATTTTTAATGTATTCACAAGAACATATAACCGTCACCACAATCTAATTCCAGAACATTTTTGTCACCCCTAAAAGAAATCTGTACCCATTAGGAGTTACTCTCTTCCTTTCCCCCACGCCCCAGGCAAACTACTAATGTACTTTGTGTCTCTATGGACTGGCCTATTTGGGACATTTCATACACTCAGAACATAGAATATACAGCACTTTTGTGTCTTGGCATCTTTCACTTGGCATAATGTTTTTATGGTTCAGCCACATTGATTCCTTTTTAAGCTGACTAATATTCCATTGTATGGATATGCCACATTTTGTTTATCCACTCATCAGCTCATGGACATTTACGTTGTTTCCACTTTTTGGCTCTTAAGCATACTACTATGACCATTTGTGTACAGGTTTTTGTGTGGTGTGCATTTTTAAGAAGTATATCACCTCTAGGCTATGTGCTAAGTGCCTGTACTCAGGAAAGGAGGCTGGAGCGTGCATGTGTGTGTGTGTGTGTGTGTGTGTGTGTGTGTGTGTTTATCGTTCTTTGTGTAGGGCCAACTCAACTTCCTGTATGTTTACAAAGAGTCTCTGGGTTTAAGAAGAGGCCAGAAGGGCTGAGTCAACTCTTAATACCTTAGCTCTACCCTACATGCTTCAACTCTCCCTGGCTACAATGCGTCCCTTCTATTCTGAACCACAGTGTAAGTGAGCCCTGCTGGCTGGGACAGGAGGCATGACTGCATGGCCAAAGAAGCCAGCGCACAGACACATCAACCGTATGTACTTTTATGATGCTTTGGGGATGAAAGGAAAAGTGCTATGTACCATTTGGTGATTCGAGGAAAGCAATAATAAAAACCCTGCTCTCAAGTTAGTGGGGGGGGAATATCATCCATCAATCAATGAATGTGATGATGCCCAAATATTACTTGGTTAGAAAAATAAGCCCACATAACTCCCACTTTTCCCTCCTCTGGATCCTAAAACTTTCATCGCCACACTGCAGTGCATCTGTGGAGAAAAGCGCACAGCGGGCCACACAGCTGTTTCCCTGCGTCTTGTAGTTTTAGTCCTGGCGATTGGGCCTGTCGGGGCCTTGCTCTGTCTGAGACGGCACTTTCCCGTTGCCTCTCACTAGGCCCTGTGATGCTGTGAGGATTCCTCCTCTGTAATCTTCATTCTAAAATTGAACCTGAACCCTCTCTGTTACCTAAGAAGGCAGAGATAGGTGATGTTTCTTTGCAACTCTGTTACCTCATTCTGGATAAAGACAGTGAAGTGAGTTGGGAATAAATATAGGGAACCAAAGGGTAAAAAATACTCTCCGAGAAGAAGAGAAATCTGATACAGGGAAAGAGACAGAGATACAGTACTTGACTGAAAGTGGGCCTGATCAGGGCAAACAAAACGGCATGTGACACATTCACGTATACTTTTGTAAGACAAGAGATTCTGTACCTGCTTGTTGAAATATCCTCAAAAGGGTAGAGGATCTCTCCATTGTTACAGATTTCACAGATGAACCCTTTTTGGCTACAAAGACTGCAGCTGTACACGTGTGAGGTGGCAAATTTAATGACCTTGCCCAAGAATGGAGCCAGCTTCCCCTCTATCACCTGCAGAAAGAGAAATGGGACAGGGAAGCAAATTCATTGAGAACAGAAATCTTGCAGACACAGGAAGACTGGAATTCCTTTCCTTTACACAACAGGAAAACCTCTAATTATAATTTCTCAGCAACCCAGAGAAAGAAAAGACATCATATTTTCACTCCGAAAGAACTCTATGCGTTAAACCACTGGGGGCTGGAGAGTGAAGATGTTGAAAATTCTTTTGTATTTCTCTTTCTTTGTAGTGCGATACAGGGGGACTAAGGACCGACGAATGGGGAACTCCACTTTCCAACTGTGATGGTGTGGTCTCAGCGTACGGTGGATGTCCTGATGTAGGAACATACGAGGTAAATATTAATGTCAAATTCTGTGTTGCAATTTCAATAATACCTTTGATGAGTTAATAGGATAGTGTTTTCACCATCTCCCCAACAACATGTAACAAATGTGGAAAACTAGGATTCTTTTGCTGCTGCTAAGTATGTTAATATAAAGAGGTTGCAATGTGACCGTCTGAGGGTCAAATTCAGCCCAAGGGTTTTTTTTTAAATCTCTTAGTGTTTTAAAAAATGAGCCAATTTAATAATTGGAAGATTTCACATAAAAATCCAGATTTTTGGTTTCTTTTGAAAAATCATCAGATATAGCCAAACCAGGTTCAAATTCCAACATGAGGACGGTCCTGGCTCTGAGGGGCCGTCTGATCCCACTGAGGCACGTGCTCTATAGCGGACAGTTGTCCCCGCTTGGCCCTAGTGTCGTGCATCTGCCTACCCTCCCACTGTTACCCCACCTGCTAGCCTGCAAACATCCGTGAGTCTGGAACCAGTGGTCAGTCAGATCCCTCGTCATTTAACTAGCACTGTGTGAGCTTCAAAGGCTCCAGTAGTTCAATACTAATAGGACAAACCTCTGCCTTCTCTCTCATTCATGCATCTGCATATACATGCTGATTTTTATATAAGAAAAGAATGAGCATTAGATTTAATTTGTAAATAGCTGGAAATAACTGGTAATCGGTGGATACTTTCAAATAAACAGAGTTAAAATCACAATTTTACACGAAAATAACATCTGAGAGAAATGTAGTAAATCCTACGTAAGGAGAAATTACAACGTCAAGGTGAATAAATAGCAGTTTTAGTATATGTGCTGCCGAAGCGAGCACGGTGAATAAATAGCAGTAACTGATAAAAATAAAAGACTGCAAGGAATCTAAAAATTTATTTTGCGAAAAATGAAGCTTTACCCAAACCAAAGTGGTTTTTAAACATCATGGAATAATCTCATGTTTTAAAACTGAACAGTAGTTAACTCTAAGGAAGGGAACAGGTTGGAAAAGCAAGTCTTTTCATTTTGTATATATGTAGTTCTTTTTGTTTTTATAAGAAACAATACACATTATTTTTGTATTAAGATGGAGAAAGTGAACAGAAAAATAAAGTTCACTGCTTTATAAGAGTGGATTTTTTTTTTTTCTTAATAAAGGGGGTAGCAATTATGCTGGCTGTTTTTTGAGTCAAGCAAGTACATTTCCACCATTCTTTAACTTGCTCTCCTTTCCATTTCCCTTAGAAGCCATAGGCAGACCTTTTATTTATGTTTTCTCAAGGACCATTAACTTCAATAAACACCAGTACCATATACTCCTGATACCAACACATGATACACACTTTCTAAGAACTAATCACTACCAAATCTTATACCAAACACTGTCCAATGTGTCATAGGATTAATTCTAAATTGTGGCGACAATAGTTCAGCTGAGCTTGGTTTTACTTATGTGACTCTTCCCTAAACTATCAAGGTTAATGACACATTCAGAGAGATGCACTAACAAAATATAGTCAGTCCATTTAGGGGAAAACTTAAGTATACAGAAGAGTCTGGAAACCAGGTGAGTAAAGGTTGTTTGAGGAATGGAGGGTGAGAAGGGAAGATGTGGAGGAAGACATGAAAGTTATCAGCCAGGATCTAAAGGAGAAGACTGGGCTTCTTGCCCATAAAGTTTTTTTTTCTATTAGAAAACTTCCTTGAGACAAAGGGTATGAACATTTTGCATTGTGAACGCTTTTGAAATGTTTCACCAAACTTATACTGTCAGAAATGTATATTTACGCCTACATGGGGACTTTAATAAGCTTTAAAAATTAATGTGGGGATTGGTATCTTTATAATATTTATTCTCCCTATTAAAGAACCTTATCTATATCTCCATTTTATTATTCTTCATTTGTTATTGCTTAATAAAATTTTGTGGGCTTTTCCCCAGTTTAAGCCACTCACACTATTATTTAGATTATTTAAAGGTTAAACTTTTGTATAATATTCTTTCTTATTAGCTATTGCTTGTACATTAAAATACACTGACATTGGGGATATCTTATGTGTTACTGTCTTACTGAATTTTATGAATGCAAATCATTTTTAGGTAATCTTTGCAGTTTTCTGAAAGTAATAACTTGGTCTCTTCCTTTCTAATATAATATCTCCAATGTTTCATGCCTTACTTTATCATACAGTGATCCTAAAATAATTTTAAGTAATAATGATGGCAGTGGATATTCTTGGTATTTCAATGAGAATCAAACTGGAAATTTGATAGACTCTATAGACTCTATAGTGAGTGGCTCATTTTCTCCATTAAACACATATGTTGTCATTCACCATATTTATTCATTCCCTCTTTTTAAATAACAGCTTTATTGAGATATAATTCACATGCCATGTAATTCACCTATTAAAAGCCTACAATTAAGTATTTTTTTTAACAGATGTGTACCATCATCACAGTCAATTTTAGAACATTTCATCAAGTCTTCCAAAAAACCCTGTAACCATTAGAAGTTACCCCCATTTCTGCCCTAACCTATCCCTCCTTCCCCAAGCTCTACACAACCAATAATCTACTTTTTCTTTTATAGATTTACATACATTTGCCATTTCATATAAATAGAGTCATATAATATATGGCCTTTTGTGACTGGCTTCTCTCACTCAGGATAGTGTTTTCAAGGTTCATGTTGATTCCCTTTTGAATATCTCTGGTGTGAGTCTCTTTTTCCTATCTTTTTAAGTCTATTATCACTCCTATCTAGACTGAGGAAATCCTCTCCTAGTTTTATTTCTGGATGGCAGCCTTTTCCCTTTGGTCCATCCAGCGTATATGCTAATCAGTTTTGGACATCACTTTTTTTTTTTTTAAATCAAGTATCCTCTCTTCTTTCAAATCTTGGTGAATTCTTATTTTACCATTAAGAAAAACTCTTCACTCATTCATTTCATAAAATGATATTGAATTACTATGCCCCAGGCACTCAATACAAGAGTGAACCAGATAGGATTGGAGCTTACATTTTTGCTTGGTGTGCAAGTGTCTCCATAAGCTGATTCCATACTATTTATCTAAGCTCAGTTTCCATGTCTTACTGTGTATTTTCTGTTGTGAGAAAATTTCCCCCTGTGTAGAGTGTGCTTACATTTGCTCTTGAGCCCTCACCCACATCATTTCCTCTACCTTAAGTTTCACTTCTTAACACTTATTTAAATTTCGCCTAGGCTTCATGGCTCAGATTTAGTCAGCTTGATGTGGAAAGCCATCTTTGGCTACTTCAGCTGTTACAAATCTCTTGTGCTTTGTATAATTTGCTTTTACATCATATAATTTGATACAGAACTTGATGCTGTCTTGTACTCTTTACTATTGTTTAAGATGTGATTGTTTTGCTTATCCAACTAGATCGAACATATAAAAATGGTGATACTACCTATAAAATGGTGATTTTATATGGAGAAATCTAAGAATGTAAATTGCTTGAAGGCAGAACTGAGTCTCATACTTGTCTTAAATGTCCTCTCTCTGCCAGGGACCTAAGCTCTTGTTGACTGACCAGGGAGGCATTCCTGTTTTTCCTCCTTGGCAGCAGTAGTCACATTTAATTTTTTTTTTTTAGTGTTTACTTAGTTTTGAGAGAGAGAGAGAGAGAGCGAGGAAGTGAGTGAAGGGCAGAGAGAGAGACACACAGAATCTGAGGCAGGCTCCAGGCTCCGAGCTGTCAGCACAGAGCCCAATGCGGGGCTTGAACTCACCAACTGTGAGATCATGACCTGAGCTGAAGCTGGACGCCTAACCGATTGAGCCACTGAAGTGCCCCAAAAGTCACATTTTAGGGCTGTCTTTGTGTCACATTTTCAGTCATTCTGCTGTGTGATTTAGGGAGGAGCACAAAGAGTGCATGGGTCTGGCGGCTGCTCAGCTGTTCAGGAACTGTTTTTGCTTCTTTACACTTGATTAATTACTCCCCCTATTTGTTAGCTTAAGTTCATGGCTATGTTCCAAAGAGCTGAAGATGCTGAAAGTTTTTCCTCTAGGAAAGTGAGGTAATAGCCTATATGTTTATTTTTGAAATTTTTAATGTTATAGAAAGGAAAAACTTCATATTTACAGTTTGCCAGAGGTGCAGATATATTTAGGAGGTTTAAGTCTTATCTTTGAATACAGCTACTAGCAGCACTGGTAGCTGAATTCAGCTATTGGGGCTTCTGGTCTAGAGGTTTCATCACTACAAAGTAGTAGGTTCCAGGTGTAAAATCTTCTAGGGTTCTTTTTAGAAATCAGATCTATTTTTGCTTTGAACAACTGCTTAAAAAGAAATCAAATGTTGTGCCTCCACCATCTCCTCCTGCCCCCAAGAGTCTTGCAACTTTCATTCCCAATTCCTAGCCATCTTGGTGGGGGCTTAACTTAGAGACACATTCCATAAACGCCATGAAGATGGCAGCCCCAAGGAAGACCAGAGCCCAAGCAGCCACTATCTTCAGGTTCCAACTGATAACAAAGTAGAAAAGAGCTGTCGGGATGCCAGTGGACCTGGGAAATGACTATGGGTAGGAAAAAGGCAAATGTCGAACAAGCTAACAGCTGGCCAACAGGTGTACAACCTGAGAGAAGTCAGACATGAGAACTCTTCTATGTCAACCCTAAGCTGGAGTGCTTCCCTGTG